ACGCCTTCTTTATCTTCTACTCGAATCAAAGTCTGCCTGCTGCTCCTTTTATTGTGTCCACGACTTCACTGTCGGAAGCAGCGAGACCACGCACCCCAGGTAGGAGGCAGAAGCCCTGCGACGACTGCGATAGGCCCTAGGTGGCCGAACAAATTAAGTGGAAAATATCACCCGAGGTCATGTGTGGGGCCCTCCCAGGGACCAGTCCCGAACGATTTTATGAGGACACTGGCCAAGTGCCCGGAACACAGGTGTCCAGAACTGAATCTGTGGCCCCCTCCCGTCCCTGTCCGCTTAAGGCCACCTTCACCACAGCCCCTGCCAGACACACGTGGCACCACCTGCCAGCACATGGCCTCGTCCCGGGCCCGCCCAGCACACTGCTGAACCACTCTGAGCGAGTCAGGGCTGCAGGGCCATGTCGCAGCGCTCGGCTGTGGCCCCGGCCCAGTCCCCCTGGCTCATGCAGGCTGCGCCCCGCCGCTCACAGGAGGTCACAGCTGACTGCAAGGCCCGAGGGGCCATTACAAAGACCATGAGTGACGCATGCACCCGGTCAGGAGCCAGCGGGCAGCAGGCACCTGATGGACTTGTCGTCCCGTCTCAGCCCTGCTCTAAGGACAAAATGTCTACAAAGGACAGGCGTGGAAGGCCCAGAAGGATGCCCTCAAGGCCACAGTGGCAGGAAGTCAGTGTCACCTGCTCTCCACTCTGCTCCCTCCTTGCTGGGGCTGTTTCACTTCTGGGCAGCATCACAGTGGCACCAACCTCCCGCGGGGCAGCCCGTCCAGTCCCACAGCACCAGCCTGGTCACAGAGGTGCCCACCCGGCACCCTTCAAGCGTGGTGTCCCCCACCCGGCACTAAGCCACAGGCCCTCCCAGCCTCCCCAGCTTCTCCCTCGGGGTTCCCTCCCCCATAAGCCCTTGTGCCCAGGCCACCACATGTCTCTTTGTTGTTTCCCAATGGCCCCAAGTTCCATATGCCCCCAAGCCCATCTAGAATGTTCTATCACTCATGAGGCTTACTCATTCTTCAAAACATAATTCAAGTGTCATCTTCTCTTCAAATCTTGCCTTCACCCTGGAACTTTCTCTAGCATGTCTGCACACTACACTCACAGCATTTCCACACGCTGTGTGCCAATGAGCCACTCTGGCTTCCAGTAGCTCTGGGGGCAGGAGGGGGCCGGGGACAGGCTTCTCCGGGTAAGAATATTCCCAGTGCCTGGCACAGACCCTACACGCAAAATACACAGGATGGCTTCTGAGACATGACTTCAACACTGTCCCGTGGACACTGCAATCTTCAGGGCTGAAAACTACATGTCACTAGTAACTTAAGGGATTTCTAGAAACTTTGTGAGATTTTAAAAATCCAATTAAATCCAAAGCATATCTCAAAAAGATTAAAAACTGCTGAGATAAAATTCATATGAATGCTCATATTGAAAGGTATATCAGACCAAGTTTCCAGAAAAAAAAATTTAATGGAATCTCTATATAAACAATATTTTAAAAATTAAAAAAAATTTAAACATGAGGATATCTTTGACTGTAGTCCCATCTTCACTAGATATAAAACAGTTATCTACCAAAAACCATCTGAGTGAATGGTAAGAATCTGAAGGTTTTCTTCTACAAAGGCATGCTTTATCTTGGTTGAAAAGAATCAAAGCAGAACATACTTGCTGGTTTGAGTATGATTTTCCTTTTTAAAAAGTGAATTTAAAAAATTATTTCCTATTTTCAAATGACCTGAACCTTTCTCAAAAACAGACTGTGCAAATTTACCTCCACTAATCATCACAAGGACTAACTTCACATTTTATATAATCCACAACTATTATCTGCAAAACTGTTATAAATATACTTGAGAAATAACACAGAAATTAAAAATATCAGTCTGGATAACACATTTTGAATGTAACTGTTCAAAATCCAGTCTATGTCCATCAGAGAAAGGAGAGAGATAAACTGTAGCATTTGGTATAAAAGAATGAAGCCTAATTCTTTTTCAAGAATGTTAGAACATGTGATTTGTGTTTTTTAAATTCCAAATATAACTGGCTGTATTTAGCACCTCCTGTACTTTCCAGTATATTAGATAATTGCACACCAAGTTAAAAACAAAATAAAGGAAAACATTCCTGTCACCCTCCCTTTGCATAAAAGAGATGGAAATATCACACACAAGCCCCCCCCCCACACACAAACAGCACCTTATAAAGGTCAGTATGAATGGCCCCAAAGAAAACTGTTTTTCAATTTTAAGAAAAGTTTTGAGGGTTTAGAGAACTCGGGGGCAAGGGAGAGAGAAAGAAGAACCATGCTATTGTGGGTTTTGGCAAAACATACGGGTCAGTAACCGCAGCCCCTGCTCTGGGGAACCGCCTGGCGCCTTGGCGGCCACGGGCCCCAACCCCCGCATAAGTCAGGGCGGCCTCACGGTTCCGTCTGGGTGTGCGCTGGGTTTCTGAAGAAGACGTTTTCTGAACAAAGGTGTGTATGACTTTAATAGGCCGAAAACTTACTCAGAAGGATAAACCAGTATTCAGTGGATAATACTGACATTAACAGCTAAAAGACATAAAAAAAGAAAAAAAGAGACAGATATTCAGTATGGAAAAGTGGTTTTAAAAAGTGCTACCCATGAAGAAGCAGAAAAGACTAGTATCTGCAGTTGCTTTACATTTAGGACTGTTTGTTTCTGTGGCTTCTGATCAGAGACTTTTTGGGTATATTGTTTGTGTAGGGAGGGGACATGCAAGTTAAGCTTTTTCAGCTTGGTTTTGGCAGAAAGACAATAGATGGTTTCAGCAAGGAACTGGCTGTGGACCCAGAGCAAACAGCTGTGGATGGCAAGCCACGCTCAGATGAGAGGGAACGTTATGGGGGTGTTTGCTTAGGTGGCTGGGAGGGACCCCCTGAATAGTACTGGGGTGAAACATACAGACCCTAGTTTGGAGATCCACAGAAAAATTCTACGCTTTTGCTTCTTGGCATCTGAACCCTCCAGTGCCTCCACTTCCCAGCCAATTAATTAATGTCATCAAAGATCAGAAATTAGTGTTTATCTCTAGTAATTTATGAAAAAAATCATTTTCTAAGTAAATCAGACTATAAAGAACATCAACCATTTCACATGATTTGTTTTCTCTAGTGAAACCACCATTAAACCAAGATCCTCTGCCATGACAGGGGCCACGATGCGGGGGGACAGTAAAGACGGGCCAGTCTGTCCCAGCATCTTCTCCACTGCCTCAGCACACGGCAGCCCACAGGCTCAGGCTGTGACACAGAGGAGAACAAAATTTCAAGACCATCTGAGAAGACTCTGCTAAATGTTTCTGCCTTACCAACAAAATGTTTGCAGCTAGTGAGATGACAGGCGATCTTCCCATTTGCCAAACTTCCCCATATGTGGAAATTACAAGAGAATGTAACTGAGTCTCTCTACATTAAGACGCATTAATTTCAAAAGCTCAAGATCAAAAGAAAAAACATTAATTAGCATTTGCATTTTGAAAGCAAACTGTATGACTATGTGCTGATAAAAACAATCCTTTCCAATTGATTAAAAAAACCTGGATGACAAGATGAAAACCAATCGCCTTAACCACTTCAACAGCATTCAGCTCCTAATGTACGTCCATCGACGCCCTTCTGAAGGTTGTAAAATAAAACGACTGCTCGTTTTGTTTCAAACCCAGGAAAGCCAACGTCATTGTCCTGCACGCCCCTCCGCACTCCCGTCCTTGGATTACGTGTTATGCAGCTGGCCTCTCCAGGGGGTGCAAAGAGCCACGATTCTGGTTTCTGCCCTGTGGTGAGGCCATGACGAAAGAGGGGCAGCTCTGTCCACGCGACAGCACCCACAAGGGACCCCCACCAGTGGCACTCAGACTGTCCACACCCACGACCGCGCACCCTGGCAGGCTCTCCTACACTGTTTTCTGGACTTACTGACAAACCAGAAGCCCCAGAGGCCGGTTTTCTCAAATAGACAAGATGTAAGAGCTACATACAAATTATTTACAGAAATCTTAATTTCCTCAAAGCATCTAACATAAACCATCTACAGGCATAAGAACATAGTTTCAGCAAGATTCCAAAATATTTTCTTGCTCTGAATTCATAACTGAAATAGACATGGGCTAGATAAGGCATTGTATAATAAGATTTTTAACATATCTATAACAGGCTTTAACCTTCAACAAAATAACAAAAATTAATCTGTCTCCTCTTAAAATACATACATTTTGTTGATAGCACATTCATATCATCAAGATCACTACTAACAACAAAGGCAAGAAAAATTGTACTTATATTGTTTTATAGAAGACACTTATTTTCAGAATATAAAACCTATCTCCCCAAAGAGATATAACCACACATTGGTGTATTTTGTTTTCAATTTTGTGGACCAAAACTAAAACACAGCTCATCTCTGATATATAGTTTTAAATCCTGGGTTTTTACAGTAAATTATTGCTGTAGATCTTTAACCGCCATGAAGTGTCAGAGGAAATGCAATTTGTGGCTTGTACCACCTGAGGGCACTCTAAAAACCTTTAAACAACTTCCAGAATCCAGTTCCTGAATACTAGAATGAGGGAAGCCCAGTTCTACTTGAGGTTCATGGGCTCCATAGTGGCTTAAAAAACGTGTTTCAGAAAACATGTGTTTCTTCGTACAAGGTGAGATGATAAATACATGTAATTTCTATCCACTGCCCATTCCCTGAGCCTCACATCCATGCAACAAAAGCTGAGGTTCTAGAGGAGAATGAGCATATCTACCTTTCAAATGACAAGGTTACAAATTTACTAACTAACCAATCTCTTAAGACTATCTTCAGACTCTATGTTTAGCATCAACAAATGAAAGGTCACCTTTCTGTGAAAAACAACAGAAATTCAAGAATTACTTCAAATCTACTTAACACATACATATACACGGCACTTCAGTTCAAGGAAACGAGTAAACCCAGACACCGTACCTGTTTCCTGTGAATTCAGCACCTCTAAGGCATGCATCATGGCACTTGCGAAGACATTGGCATCCTCCTTGCTGCCAAAGTTGAGGCCATACACCTGTCTAGCGTCTCGCCACTGGTGGAAGGTCTGTGTAGCTTGATTGTACTTCAACCCTTTAGGAATGGCACAATTTATCACGACCTAAAAGACAGTAATTCCTTATACAGTCAACCTAATAATTGGCAAAATCAACAAATCCTGATTGGATATACTTCTTCAAAACTGCTTCTGATGGACCTTGGCCAAAAACAAAAACCACCTGGTTAAAACAACTATCAACGGTAAAATCAACCTGTAAAAGTAACAGTCTGACGGAAGTTAGCTGTCTGATGGTTACAAAGGCCTGGCCTTTAAATAGTAAGTCAGCCGGACAAAAGAAAATCCATACCCTCATTAACTATATTTTAACATGTTTATTAAAGCATAATAAATTCAGAAAGCATACAAAACATAAGCATGTATCTTAGCGAATGTTCCCACATAGCCAAAATCCTGATCGAGAAATAGGATGTTAATACTAGAAACTTCCTTCCTAAATCCTCCACCTCCCAGATGAGGTCTGCAACTTTCTGAATTTTACACAAACAGAGCTACACGCAACACACCATTAACATCCATGCTCGCTGCCCCGACAACTGTGTATGGGAGTCCTCAGTTCGCTGTGCACAGCTGTGCTTTGTTCTCACTCACTGCTCGGTGGCGCCCCGCTGTGTCCCTCACACTGACTGACCCATCCTCCATTACTGGACATTTGGATTACTTGCAGTTTGGTACTATTGAAAATAGTTGACGTCACGAACATCCTACATGTCTCCGGTACACGTGAGGGCCTGTTCGGTTGGGCATATACCTGGGAGTGGGGCAATCACACACCAAAGATACGTTCAGCTTTAGCAGAAAACTTCATGGCTTTCCAAACCAGTTCTACCAATTTTCGCTCCCCTGGCCGCATACAACAGCCTGCATGAGTGCAAAAACACGTTATTGGAACGTCGGTCTGTATTTCTCCGATTACTAATGAGATTTAGTGCTTTTTCATGTTTTAAGGGCTATCCGGATACCTTCTTTAACAAACACCTGCTCAAATTAAACCTCTTGCCCATTTTTGTACTGAGCCATCCATTGTTTTCTTTATTGATTTGTAAGAGTCCCTTTATACATTCTGAACAGGACTGCCCCCATTACCTGTGTTGGTTATCTGTGCTTCAAATATCTTCTCCCCTAACAGAGTCTTCTGATGAATGGAAGTTCTTAACTTTTATTCCATCCAAATTAGGATTCTTTTACTCCAAAAGGCTAAAGCTTTTTGCAACTTGTTTAAGAAGTGTTTCTAGTCCCAAGACGATGAAAATACTATCCCATGTTATTTTAGCAGCTTTATCGTTTTAACTTTCAGATTACATCTCCAGACAGTTTATGCCTCTGGTATGAATGAAGGTTCGAATTTCCTTCCCAATACGGCCACCCAATCGATCCAGCATTGTCTATTAACTGTGCTTCACATTTACTTTTTTCATAAATCAGGTGGCTAAACGGCTCCATTTTGTTCTACTGGTCAATATGGCCATCTCTGAGTCACGAGGAGCACATCTGCATCACCGCTGCTCTCTCCCAAGCCGCGTGCCACTGGAGTGCTGTCCTCCTTCCCCTGGCCTTCACCGCTGCCGGAGCTGTCCTCAATCCTGTGCACAGCCATGGCTCTACATTCAGATGATTAATTCTGTGTTCCTTATGCCATCTGCCAGTCTCCACTTTTCACTAGAGTGTTCGGTCCACTTACTACGTTTCATATAAATTTGGGTCTAAATCCATCCTGCCTTCTTTCGAAGTTTATTATTATTACCCTTCTACTAGCTCGCCAGTTGCACCCGCTTCCGCTGCTGTGCCAGTAGCCATCCCAGAGATGACAAAAGGCACCAGAACATTATTGTCACATTTATGCAACAGCCAATCACTTAGGATTTGCCCACATTTACAATTTCTGCTGTTTTACTCCTCCTGCCCCTCCAGGCTTCTGTGGGGACTCTTTCTGATCCCGAAGAAGACACTTTATAATTTCAAGTTCTTTCAATGCAGATCTCGTGATAAATTCTCTCCATTTTTGTCAAAAAGTGTCTTTAGTTCACCATCATTGTTGAAGAGAATTTTTATTAGGTATGGAATTCGAAGGGGGTCACTTGTTTTCTTCAAAGCCCAGTGCCTTCCAAGCTCTTGCTGTTTCTGCCGAAAAGTCAGCTGACCACTCTCGGTCACTTCAGCCATCTTGTCTCCACTGACTGCTCGCAGGCCTCACACCTGTGAGGTGAGTGTGAGTGTCCGGTGTTTTCAACAGGACGGGTTTAGATGGTTTTCTTTGTATTTACCTACTTAAGGTCTACTGCATCTCTAAGGTGATATTCTATTATGAACTTGAAAATTCTTATTCATGATCTCCTCAGTTTTTCTTCTGCCCCATTCTCTCGTCTCCTCTGGGCCTCCAATCACACATACAATTTTCACTGTATCTCTCTTTTTTCTCTTAATCCCCTTCACCTCTTTCACCCAAACCCCCCAACCCCGCCACTTATTCCCTAGATTTATGAGCCTATAACCATTTTGTTTGTTTTGTTTTTTAGATTCCACATGTAAGTGAAATCCTGAGGTATCTGCCTTTTACTCCATTTAGTATCACACCCTCCAGATCCACCCTGGTTGTTGCAAATAGCACATGCCCTTCTGTGTTCCTGGCGGAGTAATCCTATGTTGGTCGTGTGTCCCAAATCCGTTGTATCCTCAGACCTAGGATTTGGGCTTGGGTAGGAGCAGAGCCATGGCTGGGTGAGGGTTCAAGCCTGGGAGAGGATAGGGGCCTATCCACCCACAGGGCAGAGACCTCTCCAGAGGGGTGAGTTGAGGGCAAGGGTCAGAGTCTGTATTTAGGGACCATGCTGACGTTTAGGTTAAGATTAGATTTTTGCTCAGGGGTACCTAGGTGGCTCAGTAGGTCAGGCGTCCAGCTTCGGTTCAGGTTATGATCTCAACAGTTCATGGTTTTGAGCTCTGCGTTGGTTCTGTGCTGTCAGCTCACAGCCTGGAGCCTGCTTCAGATTCTGTGTCTCCCTCCCTCTCTGCCCCTTCCTGGCTCACGCTCGCTCGCTCTCTCTCAAAAATAAACATTAAAAAAAAAAAAAGATTAGATTTTCGCTCAGAATCATACTCTCCAGCTCCATCCATGTCGCTGCAAAGAGCCAGTGTTCTTCTGTGCTCCTGGCTGGGAAACACTCCCCTGTGTATGCACCCCCCGTTTTCTCTGTCCGTTCGTGTATCAGTGGACACCTGGGTTACTTCCACATTCACCTACTATAAATATCACTGCAATAAACTGAGGGATACATATACCTTTTGGAATTAGTTTTTGTTTCCCTGTGTCTCTTCAGCTCTTTTTTATATGTCCATGTTTTTCTCTCAGAATATCTTAGCTTCAGTCTGAATATTTTCTTCTGATCTTTCAGTGTACAAATTCTTTTTAATTGTTACTAATTTGTTGTAAAACTCCTCACTGAACTGTCAACAGCAGGTTAATCTTCTATTCTGAAATGTCCATCTGGTTCTTTTTTCAAGTTTCCAGTTCTTGGCAGAAATTCTCAACCTTGTGTTATTTCCTTGACTATGTTAAGTATTAGTTATTTTATAGTGAATTTCTGATAACTGAGCTAACTGGATTCCCGAAGGATCTTGTTGTTCTATTGTGATTCCTCGTCTCCACATATGCCTGGCTACTTTGATCTAACGCCAGATGCTGTGTGTGGACAACTGTATGCACATTCTGTGGCCCACAATGATGCTCAGTTTTCCAGGGAAGATTTATGCTTGCTTCTGGCAAGCAGCTAGGGAAACTAACAATCCGAAACCAACTTCATCAAACAGTGAACGAAGTGGTTACAGGTTGGGTTTCGGTTCCCCTAAAGGCCAGCCTCATTCCGAGTCAAACCTCTCCCCAGGGGATGGGGCCTCTGGGTCCCACACCCATGGCCTGGGGATTACCAAGAAAACGCTCCCCTCATTAGCAGGCCCTAACTTCAGATTTTTGTTCTGCTGGTCCCAGGAGTCTGCCAAAAGCTCTGCAGACACATGCCTTGGAGGTCTGGAAGCTGGGCTCATTTCTCTGGTTCTTACTTCTTCCAGATCATAGACCCAGAATTCTTCTTTATCATGTAGGCTCTCCAAACAGTTTTTTTCTTCTTAAAATTCTGTCCAATTGTGTGTGTTCTCACAGAGAAGCTCTATTATGTTACCTTGTCCACCAAAACCCAAACTTGAAATTATTTTTAAAATATGACCATATATATATATAAAATACAAAAAATATAAAGACATTATACCAAGTGAAATAAGCCAGACAAATTGACAAATACTGTCTCATTCCACTTATCTGAAATATCTATAACTAAACTCATTAAAAAAAAAAAAAAGATAGGATGAAGGCTGCCAGGGACTAAGGAAGAGAAAAACAGGGACTTACTATTTAATGGGTTTGGAGTTTCAGTCTGGGAGGATGAAAAATTTCTGGAGATGAACAGGGGTGATGCTCAATAATGTGTGCGCACTTAATGCCACTGATCCGTACACTTAAAAATGGGTAACATGGGAAATTTTATGTTGTGTGCATTTTCCCATAATTTAAAAAAGGATGGCCTCTTGTTGTATGATGTAAGTATCGGGGTGGGGGCCACATACGAGTCCTTACCATTAAGTTGTTAAGTCTCATTTCAAGGTGGATCTGTACCCCTACTTGGCAAATGGTCTGATAAGGTCAGGCAAGAAAAACACAGCCACATTCACTTTTTCAATTGTTCACTAACAGAATGTTAAGAGAAGGGGGAAAATGTTACTTTAATCACATTACGTCATCCCTGGTTCACTCTCTCCACTGTGAGAAATTTAACATGTGGGTTCAACTGCTTCATTCATTTTTAACTTTCAGGGATAGACAATGCTGTATATCATCACAAGAAACTTTTATTACTTTTTTTTATTTTATCAAGTAGGCTCCACATCCAACATGGGGCTTGAACTTGTGGCCTGCGATCAAGGGCGGCACACTCCACTGACCGAGCCAGCGGCGCTTCTCCACCAACTTCACAGGTAAGGGGAAGCCTGTGTGTTCATTTAACACTCGCTGCTTGCTGGATGTCCACAAGAGGTGTTATCAGGCTCACACCTGATATTCATCCTCAGGTTATTCTCTAGATTAACGGTGGCACTCCATCCTACACATGCTCACCCTCCCACCAGGCCCCAAAAGAGAGAACTGTGCCCTGAACGTCTACTCTTCCTGGCCTCCTGGGCTCAGTACCTGATCTCGTCTCTGAAGTCGTCCACGCCCCTCTTCCCTGTCTTCTCCGCAAACTCATCCTTCTTGGATGCCTCTCTGTGCTGCAAATGATATGTACCGGACTGAAGCCACTCCCTGCACTCCTTCCCCCCATTCTCTGCAGCCCCCTGCAAACCTGAGCACGGTGCCCAGACCACACGGAGCACCAAATGTTAAGGAAAAAAAAAAAAAAAGTATTTTAATATGTATGTAACATGTGTGCATTCAATTTTACAAATAAATGGTAGGTGATTTTTTTAAAATGGCTCTTTACTACAAAAGTTTAGACATTGTTTAATAAATTACAGTAACATGTTTCCACTTAGACTGATAACCATTCAAAAATATAACAAGGTATTCTGGAAAACCAATTAGTTGTCAGATTTCTTCTTAGGTAATCACTTTTATTATTTTAAAGCAGTGTCTTTATAAAATTATACAGCTGACCTTCAAATAACAAAGGTTTAAACCACATGGGTCTACTTACCCATGGACATTTTTCCAAAACAGTCTTGTTTACAGTCCTGTAAATGTATGTTCTCTTCCTCATTAATGAATAACATTTTCTTTGCTCAGCTTACTTTAAGAATAAAATGTGTAGGGGCGCCTGGGTGGCTTAGTCGGTTAAGCGTCCGACTTTCGCTTAGGTCATGATCTCGCGGTTCGTGGGTTTGAGCCCCGCGTCGGGCTCTGTGCTGACTGCCAGCTCAGAGCCTGGAGCCTGTTTCAGTCTGTGACTCCCTCTCTCTCTGACCCTCCCCTGCTCACGCTGTCTCTCTCTCTCTCTCTCCTAGAAATAAATAAAATATTAAAAAAAAAAAGAATAAAATGTGTAATACATATAAAATACAAAATATATGTTCAACTATGTTACTGGTAAGACTTCCAATATAGAAGCACCAATATAGGGCGGCTCAATCGGTTAACAGTCCGACCTCGGCTCAGGTCATGATCTCCTGATTCATGGGTTCGAGCCCCCTGTCAGGCTCCGTGCTGACAGCTCAGACCCTGGAGGCTACTTGGGATTCTGTGTCTCCCTCTCTTTCTGTCCCTCCTCCGCTCAAGCTCTCTCTTTCTCAAAAAAAATATTGTTTTTTTAGATTTTAGGGATAGACTATTAACTATGGATAGTTATGGTTAGGACTGTGGGTTTGTTTTTGTTTGTTTTTGTTTTTCTACTAGTCTTGGTCAATTACATTTTTCTACAAAATAACCCATTTCTTGGCATAAAGCTGTTTATAATATAGTTGATCTCCTTACTGTAACTATAGTGCTATCTCTTTCCAATCATACTATGGTTTATTTGTAACTTTTCATTTTTTGTTTGATTCTGCCAATTTTTCCATTCAATGAAGCAGTTTTTGGGTTAATAATTTTTATTTTTATTTAGTTAATTTCTCCTTATATTTTTAGTATTTCCTTCTGCTTTCTTTGGGTCAAGCTCACCATTAAGACTTCTGAAGGCAGTTTATGTGTGCCACAGGTTTCCATATACCACATCCTGTCACTCAAGTCTAAGTCTTTTTATTTTCTAAGCATTTTTTACTCTTCATAATGATGTCAGCTTAGTGTCATGAATTTAGAAGTGTTTTTAAGTTTCCAAACATTTTGGGGCACCCGGGAGGCTCAGTCAGTTGAGCGTCCGACTCTTGGTTTTGGCTCAGGTCACGATCTCACCGTTTGTGACATCGAGCCCTGTGTCAGGCTCTGCCCTGACAGCGTGGGGTGTGCTTGGGATTCTCTACTCCCAACCCCCCCGCCTTTCCCCTGCTGGCTCTCTCTCTCTTTTTCTCTCTCTCCCTCTCTCTCTCTCAAAATAAACAAACTTTAAAAAGGAAAGAAGAAAGAAAGATACAAAATCCTTTGCGTCCTATGCTGAGGGTGTGTGACCCAGCACGGACCCCCACCCTGTGTAGACTGAGGTCTCAAGGCCCATCCTCCCACAGGCCCACGGCTGCTGCACACCTAAGATAGATCTAAGTCTGTAGTTATTCACAGTCTGTAACAGCCATCCTGAAACACAGGGCTGCTGCAGCATCTGTCTGCATGCTATACCGGGGCTCCTAGCGGAAACCCAGGGACAAGCCTTTCCTTGGTTAAGGGCTCAGCCGGAGGTTTGTCCCATTTTTCCTGCATGTGTTTGACTCCACCATCTTACCAGAACCGAAAGTATTTCATAAATCTTTATACAAGTTCTTGCTGCGATTAGCATATACTTGGTGTGAGTGAGGCCCCATCCATGTTTTCCTCTACCTACTACTGCTCCTGGCCCGCGAAGGCCCAAGACATCAAGTCATCAGATAATCCAGTCACCTTTCTGAGAAATCCAGAGCAGGGAATTAGGAAAAGCTTAGTTTTGATCCCAGATATGAATTACAAAGGCCTAACTATTCCAGCAATCTTAAAACCTACGATGTTTCCACCATACATGAATTTGCAATATTTTCTGAAATTACTAACACTTTCAACTCCCTCTTCTAGCCCCACACCTGTGGCAGGAAATGAATTCCTTAAACATACAACCTGCTACTTAAGTGGTATTTCACATTTTGGTTTGTCCTAAATTTACTTTAGATTCCCAAACCTTGCTAGCTGGAAGCCAGAAGATCTAAAGAATGTTCATAATTTAAACTCATATTTGTTTTTTTGTACAATTAGCTCTAAATCCTCATCCAACCAAGGTGGAAAGAGCGGGAAAGGCAACGCCATCCCCAGCTGTCCCACCCAGAGCAGGCTGACTGTAGTTGCAAAGAACCTCTTCAGTGTGCAGACTACTTTACAAGTCCTTCTGTAATTCTAGATAACTTTCACTAAGAAGGTAGAGACCCTTACCTGATGATCCTGAATCTTCCTGCCCACCACTCTGAACGTGTTGTTGCCTGTATGGTGATATATGTGAACTCTGCTGAACCCTGTTGAGCCACCAGCAGGTACCCACTTCTTGTTGGCATCATCATAAACCATCACAGCAGCTCTTGCCTGACAGATACTCTGTTCACTGTAAAAAATAAAACGTGCAAACTTAAGACATTTAGTGTATGTGAAGCTTCCCATTCAGCCCTACACAACAGAGTGAGCCCACAATTAGTGCCTCATCGGCTGCTAGAACAACGGGGAACATGACGGAGGCTTCCTGCCTTGATGGGTAAAGTCTAAGGGGGAAAAGAGACCAAAATCTGATGTGTAATGAGGGACCAGGGGGCGGTCAGGATCCACGAAGAGCACGTAGACAAGAAACACAAGAAATGTTTTCTAACCTAATACACTATCTAATACATTCATTAAACTGAACTCAACCACAGTATAAATTAGCCATCACTTGTCCAACCGTATATATGTTTATAACACTGGTGACCTATGATTACCCACTCTTTACTGGAAAGGTTGTTTTTACCACTGGGCTTGCTGCAAGTCCTACATAACAAATTCAGACAACTTCCATCTGTTCCAGGAGATACGGCGTGTCCGCTAACAGTCAATGGATGGCAATGTGACTTAAGTCCTCGACTCCACTTGGGCGAGACAAAATCCTATGTTCTAAATTTCATTTAACTATGAGAAAGTAAAATGAGATAATTTCTAAAGATCCCTCTAGATTTTAAATTCTAACCCTCATAGATAAATATTAAAGAGGACTAATTTCCAGGAAGGATCTTTAAATCTCAGCTTCATTTCCATTATTTGTTACCAAGTAAGACTGAGATACATGAATGTATAAATATAGAGATGACCTTAATTTCCTATTATGTACTGGGTTCATCTTTTAAATATTCTATAATATTACTGGGGGGAAAAGGGCTGCTTTGAGTGCGATTACTTCATACCATATCTTATTTTTCAAAAATCAAATACCAAGAATGAGCAACAGAAGAAAACAGGTACGTTATGTCAAACCAATTAAAACGACTCAATCTCCACATCCAAGACTTAGCTGAAGCTTAAAGCAGAGACCAGTGGCGATTTCCCAGGAGCTGAGCCAACCTCACCCTTAACAAAAGCATTGTCCGTTCTACCAGTTTTAGCCTGTTATTAGTGTGGGTTCTTGGCCAATATCCTCAAAAACAAGTCACTCCCAGACCCTCCCCTCTTACCCACGCCTCTGCCCCATCCATCAACAGTCTGTGTTTCACTCTTGTCATGTGACCTGACACAGAAGATCAGGGGAGACCCACCAGGGTGATGGCACTGAGCAACACGGTTGCTTTGGAACAGCGAGGTCATCACTATTTCTACCTTTCCATCAGAGAAACAGTTACAAGAACTAACTTGTAACAATATATGTGCGGCACAAACACTGAAATAAAGTGGCACTGTCTAAATTTTTATGCTGCACTGAAATTTCTTGGTAAACTAGGTCTGGGAATAAAAACATGCTAATGACAAAAAGCGTGAATTATTTCTAAATGCCTAATTAAAGAGAATCTGTCAGCTTAAAAGCTGGAATCTCTTCATGGCCCACAACAGAAATACTTGTGAAGAGACAGCATTTGCAGGGTCCTGCACAAAGATTATGTGAAACAAGCTTAGGCAAAGTGCCCCTTACAGTATATGATCCAAGAATAAACCTACTATTAATCGTAAATAACAAATCTGTAAATTAATACAGAACAGCATTTTCCTGTTTTCAAAAATTAGTATTTCGGGACATAGGTTTCCTAAGGTTCAAAATACAATGTCTCCCCAGAAGTCCCAGTGGGATCAAATAAACCAAAGCAATAAACCCCCATTTGTTGTAAATTAAACCATTCCATGCCTTAAAAAATTTTTTTTAAGTTTATTTATTTATTTTGAGATATACATAGTGAGCAGGGGAGGGGCAGAGAGGGAGGGAGAGACAGAATCTCAAGCAGGCTCTACACTGACAGTGGGGTTCATGATGTGAGATCATAACCTGAGCCAAAATTAAGAGTTGGACCCTTAACCAACTAAGTCACCCAGATGCTCCTCCACCCCAAATTTTTTAAATATACACAGGAAATATAAAAACAAGAGTTGCCTCCACTTTTCCCTCCATGTTTCTTCCCCACTGCTCTAGAATGGGCTTCTGGAGACATTCTAAATACTGAAGTACACAGTTAACCAAACAGCTTCGACTAATCCTTGATTAATCAAGATATATACAAACTCCTTAGCAATCAAAGGTCTTAGCACTTCAATTTCCCTGGGAAAGCTATAACCACAGAAACAAAGACAAATGGACACAGCCAAGTAGCCAAGGACAAAAATGCAAAAATTAGTTGACTAGTTTTCTAATGGAAATGAAATCTTCAAAATGAAATGTCAAAAATACAAACCCAGCTCTAAACAAAGTCATGAAGCACCAACAGAAGCCAAGAGTAAAGAGAAGAAAAAGAAATGGGTAACAGGAGCACAGCCATGTGGCAAGCTGTTAAGGGACAGGTTATGCCCAAATAACCCTGTTGTCCTATAAGCCACTGGGTGCTCCGGAAAGCCACGGCGAGGCCCAGGAGAGAAGATAAGTCGTTGCCCACTGGTGTTCTTGGGGACAAGCTCAAGCCAAATCTCTCCAGTTCTGCTCCACAGCATCTGAGGGTCCATGCTCACTGGACAAGACGTCTGTGCTGTAATAAACATCCCTTGGCCTCTGCCCCAGCTCCAGGCACACGGCTCCTAGGAGCCCTGCACTCTGCTGGGTGGCAAACAGCTCTCAAGTCTGCTCATAAATGGCTCCATGCTTCAAGATGGAGGCTGACTGCCAGAAACACCAAGCCATGCTGAGAGCACTGAAATTTTCTGTGCTTCTGGGGAAGGAAAGGGGACAGAGACTGGTCTCACTCACCAACAGGCACTACTGTCATCAGTCATGCCTGAGGAACGCACCCTCCTAAACATGCAGACAAGCTCCACACCAGTGCTGGGAGGGCGGCAAGCCTCCGGAGGGCATGGAACCCTGTGGTTGCCCCAGACTGTGCGCTACGCACCTTCTCTACCTGGCTCTTCCTACATTATATCCTTTATTTAAAACAAAACCATAATAGCAAGTCCAGCAGCTTTCTAAGAACTGTTCTAGCAAATGACTGAACTTGAAGGGAGGTGGTGGGAACAGCAGAATCTGAGGTCAGCTGGGCATTAAATACGCAGGCAACCCAAGGAGCCCACTGGCCGCTGGTCCCTGAAGGGGGCCTGGGGGACTGAGCCCTTAACCTGTGGTGTCTGTGCTAACTCCAAAGGGTGTCAGAAGTGAACTGAACTGGGAACCCCAACTGGTGCTAGAAAATAGAATTGGCGGTTGGTTGATGTGAGAAGAAAACCAACTCTGATTAAAGGTGCACATAAAATAGGCCAGTGGTACCCAGTTTGGGATTTCATGAACCCACAGACTTCAAAAATAGATGGGATGGATCAATCTAGAGTCAGCTGACAATATTTTGGTCCACTTCCCAGGGAGGAGATGGGGGGGTAGGGGTGGTGGTTGAGAGGGAGGAAACAGCACAGCAACTTATTAAAATGAGAATATTCTGGAACTTAATCTCAAAATAAAAATCATGTAATGTAACATAACATAAATGTAGTAACTGGCTTTCTATACAATTCTCTAGAACATAAGCTATTTTTCCCCATTTCTCCCTCGTCCAGTGAAATACTTACAAGGGCCTGCTTACAGCAGGATTGGCCTCAGTCATGAGAGAGGTGCCTACACGTGGGTGCACATATGAGCAATGGAGAAGTGACAGAAACCGCTTATTGATTTTTCTGATAAGAATTTCCAGCTTTATTTGAAGTTTTAGCTGAGAAAGCAACGAGTAAACTTACAAATTGCTGAAATTATATCCATATGAGCAGCTTTTCGGGGAAAAGTGAAATGGAAGGAAGGCAAGATTTAAGTACCACAGCTACCAAAGGAAAAAAAAAAAAAAAACAAGAAAATGAGTATCTAAACAAAAGCCCAGCAAAAGAACTGACCCTTCTAATACCATTCTCTCTGCATTATAGTAAGCCTCAAAAATAAACCCCTAGTCAAAGTCTTCAACGTTGTGAGTCAGTAAAGGAACTGCACACAAGATTAAATTGGTAAGTTACTAAGCTATAGTTTTGTGAAGATCAAGCACTCAATTAGTTATAAATAAAAACTTTAGGGGCGCCTGGGTGGCTAAGTTGGTTAAGCATCCGACTTTGGCTCAGGTCATGATCTCACAGTTCGTGGGTTCGAGCCCAGCATCAGACTCTGTGCTGAATGCTTCCTCAGAGCCTGGAGCCTGTTTCGGATTCTGTGTCTCCCTCTCTCTGCCCCTCCCCTGCTCACGCTCTGTCTCTTTCTGTCTCTCTGAAAAAGAAACAAACATAAAAAAAACTTCTTATGACCAAATGCAGTTGGTATACACAATTACATTTCATCTTCCTAATATTAATTTTGGTATTTTAAAATGAAATATGACATTAGAAGGCTAGAGACAGCTGATTTTTAAAAAAAGGTATAAAAACCATGATACTATGTTACAATTTTGTGGCTTCACCAGGTAATTCATTTCTGAATATAGCCCAACTTCCGTGACAAAACCACGTGATGGCAGAGAACCGCATGACAAATTCTATTCTCACAGGTCCCAGGGCTTATTAAATAGCAGACTCAGGACAGCCGGGTCACTCTCCTATACACCCTGAGGCTGCAATAAAGCCCGATCTTTGAAAACAGCAACTTCTCAAAGACATCACTCGTGAGTTCCTAACTTGTCAATGAAGCAGGACTATGACAGTGCCTAGCACACAGTAAATACTCTTTGAGTGCTTATTCAGTGCAGTTTCACCTAACAAAATCCCACTCCTCAAGGCCTGAATCAAGTATCATCCTTCCTGTGAAATGTTTCTGGGGCCCCAATGCTGAATTTAATCCCCCCCCACCCCCCGCCAGCTGCTGTAGCATTCAGTAACCTTTCAACAGGAGGACTCTGAGGAGATGTTTGGCCACAAGAGGAGCTGCGATTTTACTCAAGGGGTTTAAGCGCAACATGATTTCCATTTTTAAAAGCAGACTCAAGC